AACTGTCGACTCTTTCCGACTTACTTCAGTTTATGCTTGCTTTCGGATCGAAAGCCCCTGTAGAGAGAAGCACTGCCATGGCATTAGTTGGAATCGCTTTTAATTCTTTGTCAACGCCAAATTCTAGAGATCAAAACAACGGCATAACCTGTTCCTGCTCGCTTTCTCAGGAGTCAGATCGCGAAAACAGCTCTGGGTCAGACTCAGCCATGGAGGTAAGGCCTCCGAAGAGCGACATCTTCACTTCACTGGCCTTGAAATTGTGTTCGAGATGGTCTGGAAAGAGGTTAAAAGAGGCAGCTGTAGTGGTTCACAATGTGCTCGAAGAGCGAAAAAGATGCATCAGCCGGCAAGAGCTACGTGACGCAGTTAGGCTGCATATCGGCGACACGGGATTGATTGATTTCTTGCTAAAACACATCGACAAAGTCCATATTGGGAATAAAGTAGTTCACAGATGCACAAACCCTAATACCCGGATGCTAGAATTCTCCCTCCGAAGTTCTCCTGGTGCAGCAGAAGAGCCGAGAAAGAGAAGAAAACTGCCGATAACCAACGATCGGACATCCAGTGCCCCGGGACGAGATGTGTACAAAGATGTTTCCTTTCTGTACGAGAATCTCTTGTTAGATTACCCTGACTCTGACATACTCGGCCAGGCTTCCGAGGTTGTCATGAACTGCAAGAGCTTCGCGAAAGAGTTTCATTTATTACCTTCCTCCGATCACCACAACAATCGTCTAACAGTGCAGTGCCAAGTTATTCCCAACCACGACGAGCTACTCGCAGATTTCACCCGGCCGTTACCACAGGGAGAACTGGTGGTGCTTCCGCAAAACTCGACAGTTAGAGAACTGAAATCAGAGACCGAAAAAGCGTTAAGAGACACGTATTGTGTAATGGAGACATTCGAAGTGCTGGAGATAAGGAACAGAGAACTGGAGAAGATAGACGAGGGGGAAGTTGTGGGATCGGAGACAGAGGTTGTAATGGTGAGAGGGTTTGGTCTGGACAGATGTACGGAGCTAAGGTACGAGGGGGGGTTCGACGACTGGACGGTGGAATGCAGATGCGGTGCGAGAGACGATGACGGGGAGAGGATGGTGGCTTGTGATTCTTGCAGGGTTTGGCATCACACTCTTTGCAATTCCATCGAGGACGACGAGGCTGTGCCCTCTGTCTTCCTCTGCTCCAAGTGTTCTCAAGGTAGCTTGAGGAGCAAGAAACGAAGAGCCCTAACTTAGGTCACAAGCCAAGAAGGATTTGGCAAAATGTTCATGTTTCGATAACTGGTAAGGACCATCGTCTGATGGACCCGGACCGACCCTGGGGATAGTTTGTGGTTAAACCGGAGGAATTACTATTATAAAAGATTATTTATAGAACCGGTTACTTTGAAATCACTCTTATTATTATTATTATGATTATTATTATTATTATTTTATAACGGAGGATACTTATCTGCTAGCTTTCAGACATGCTGATTAGGTAAATCTCCGGTACGGGAACAGCTTTTGTATATGGATCATATAAATCCAGAAATTAACTCGCTCTCCACCACCCAGAAAACACTTAACTTATTACCTCCTATCCCAAACTTAACCACTCGCCCATGATCTGTTGGGTCGTATTATTCTATACTCTCTCTTTTTTTTTAGTCTCTAAAATTTTAAATATACACTGGTTGCAGAACTTCTTTACTTTTACTACTCCATGGGATCCAAATGCATAACTACTTATATGAAATTAAATTAATATAAGTCAAGTGCCTTATATAATATAATTGGTTCAGTAGATAAATTAAATTAAGAGGTGGAGAGGTATACATGTGGAACATGCATGACATAGGAATAGGCACATGCATGCATTCTTTCTCGCAAGTAACCCTGTCAAATCCAATCGGTTTTTCTAACATTCTTCTTTTCTCCAACACTTTCTGTCTGCCACAATCATAAGCTCCATATTTTATTACTATTTGTGTAATTATTATTATTATGTAAAGCAGACCACTCCTCCCAAAAAAAAATTATGACCCGCATCATTCTTATCAGAATAAAGGAAAATAAAAAAAAAGGAACAAGAGGGTTTTTTGGTTAATTTAATTAATTAGCCAGTCAATAATTATCAATAATAGTGATACAGGCAGAAGACGAGGATGATGCTCGATTAGATTATTTTATTTTATTTGGACTATTTTAATTAAAAGAGAAGAGATTTTGTTCATGACAAAGATCACGTTCACGACCACAGTGAGTCCAGGTAGCTAATATTTTAATGGATATTTTCTTGTTCTTTTTTTCCCCCATAAATTAATGGAGTTTACTAGAAATATTTCAAACCCATGTCACCCCAACGTGCACAAGGCCCAATTTTTTTTTTAAAAAAAACCCCTCAATTGTATTATAGTGGTTCTCTATATATATATCCTTAAAAACAAATATACGTTTCAATATATGCAGAAATTGCAGAAACTAAATGGAACCGTTATAGGCTTAAAAAAATGTTTTTATGAAGCATAAGTGGATTGACTGTTCCAATTAGAGGAGATAATTTGTTAATCCGGAACTCAGAAATACTTAAGCAAAACAATATTATTTTTATTTGAGAGAAGATATGACATTGGATGTAACTCTAAATCAGCTTTTGAAATTGCTTTTCAAATATATTTTTTTTTTGGTGCCAAACATGTGGGGTTTCGCATTCACACTAATGAACAAAATCTCATGAACACCCAAAACTCGATTACTATTGGTCCATCTCTTTTTTTTTTTCTCGATTTATCGTGAACAATCATTCATACGCATCATTGTTCTCTTTCTAATTATTGCTTTTAAATATATAATAACATCATTTAAAAAAATACAATTTTAATGGCAAAACAAAATCCCAAAACGATGGACAAAAAAAAAAACTCAAAACAAAGGAGAACGATGGGGAATGCCTTTCCTCGCCCGTAATCTCTTATGCGATCTAAACGAAAAATGATTAAATAGATTTTCTGATTCATTAGAGACATCCGTGAGCGACGATGTACACGATTTTTTCTCCTCAATACTTCCCTCTGGATTAGAGGATTCGGTCTTGTGAGGAGAATAATATCCATGCCCTATCGAAAACGACGCCGTCTGCAAAAACAAGCGAAGTGTGCATTGCAACTCACAGGCATTGTATTACACACATAGATACATGCATAGATACATACACACACACACTCATATATATATATATATATAAATTACCTTGCAGGAGATAGAACAAAAACGATTGGGAATATCTTGAATGTATCTTCGACAAGTCTCGCATGAAGCTCCGTTCTTAGATTTGGTTGAGGGCTTTGCATCTTTTGCTTGTGGCCTTGAATTCAAATGTATTGCCTTTTCCCCATTTATTTTGTATGTCTTCCGTTTCACAATACATATTTTATATATAAAAAAAAGAGGAAAATATTATTATCAATCAAACGAGCCATGAATGAATTCACAAATTGCATATCTCACCACACAAAAAGATCAAACGGAGTTATCATCTATTTTGGTAAACCAAATTATGCCCATGAATTTCGTCATATACAAGGATCGAGTATGAATTATATAAGCAATTCTGAATTTGATAAACAAAATTAGACAACTGAAAGGGGGGGGGGGAAGAACCTGGATTTCAGAGCAATCAAAGTAGGGTTGAATGTCGTGAAGGCGAAGAACATCATGGTAAACGTATCTGCAGATCTGAATACGGCGATGGAGACAGTGAGAATCGGCGCAATGTCTGCAGATTCCGACACTGCAGTCCATACAGAACACGTTCTTCTCGTTCTTCCTAAGATACCTATGATCCGTACACTCCCCGAAGAACTCCGAACTCAGCAGCGTCTCCATCCATTTATCACTTCTCTTTCCATCCTTTAAATCATGCGGTTTTATATACACCCACAACCATATGAAGAAATTGGATGTAAGGGGACAGATACGAAATCGTTTGAAATCGAATTTCAGAGATTGAGAGGTAAAGAAAACTCACGAGGGTTCGCACCAGACTCATCTGGGTATGAGAAATTGATTTCCTTTTATCGATCCGAATGATGGATTTTCTCCTTCGACGAGCACAAGCCAATCCAGAGGAAGAAGAAACCGGTTTAGGGTTCTTGGGGGGAAAGAAGAAGAAGAAGAAGAAGAAGAAGAAGAAGAAGAAGAGAGAGAAGTGAGGGAGTGATTATATTTATATAAAGTGGCAAGGCAAGGCAAGAAATGAGATTAGGAATGTTTTAATTGATTAAATATACTTATAGCATTAATGACAAAATATAATTAGAAAAGGAAGGCAGGCAACACCGAAAGTCCATACAAAAAGATTTTGTTTTTTCAACAATAACTGTGACCCTTTTATACTTAAAAAGAAAAAACGGATGGCAAAGCAAGCGGGAAAAGCCAAGGATGTAAAAATGCAAAGTGATGTTATCATATTTTCCATCTTCGAAACGCTGCAATCAATTAACAAAGTTGATTTTTTTTTTTATAAAAAAGTTGATTAAATTATATATCAACTTTTGTTACTAACGAAATATGTATGTGTGTATATATATATATATATATATGTGTGGGTGTGTGTTATAATAATTTGACTGAGTAGACATAATTTGACTTTTCAGGAGTAGAAAGCTGTCTTCCTGAGTTTTATTGTAGTTTGCGGGAAAAAGAGTAAGCAAAACTTCCTATATTTACTCCGAAATTTCCAAGAAAATCACTTCTTTCCTAGAAAACATACATACATACATACATACATATAATATGTAAAAAAATTAGATTACATGTTAATATTACGTGGATTTAATTTTTTATAATTTTTAAACTTTTCTCTTATGAAATTTCTTTTGCTCTTTTTTTTTCCTAGCGAAAATCTAGAAAGAAGGAACGAATGAACGTGGATTTAAAATTTGGGCCAACGGGAGGCGAAGGGAAATATGATGAAGAGACCAAACTATAATTGGGCCATGAATATTAAGAAATACCTTATTGGGCCTCCCAATGTAACAACATAGTTCTTGTTGGGCCTTACACCTATTTAAGTATTTGCCTGATTTTTCTTTTGTAAGATTCTAAGTTATATTATTCTGTCTTCTTAAAATTCTAAATTATATTTCCAGTTCACCGGTTTTCATTTCAAAATGTATTAATATAAAAATTTTAGAATTATGTTAAATCTATAGAATTTTAAAATAATTTTGTTTAGAATACTATGTACTTGTCATTCTATACACATAGAAGATATTGACGACAGTTTTGAGGTGAAAGGAGAAAAAATAAATGGTGGCGTTATTTTTTATTATGAATTTTTGTGTACGTTGATTAAATTTTGCAAGCGAAATATATATATATATATATGTATGTATAGACAGCTGTGTTCTTCTTTTGGATCTATTCTATGGGCTTTTTAATAATATGGTAAATTATAAGGTTTTTTACTAAATGGGCTCTAAAATAAAATTCATCAAATATATTACCGAGCCTTTTTTTATCACCACATGCGTGAGCTTTATTAATAAACCCAAAAATCCATTGAGATCTGCATTGGGATATTTTCCAATGGCCTCGCAAAATGTGTGCACGTTAGCTGAAGGCCATCGTTCATGCTATCATGCGCCCGGAGGACTTGTTGGAACGAGGACCGTTGAGACACCATCCCGATATAAATTAAATTGAAAAAGGTAAATAAAAAGGTTTTTTCCTTTTTCCCGCTGAATCTAGTTATAATCCTTGCTATATTTTATTTATTGTTTTGTGCGACCGTGGGGCCCTAATGAGAATGACAAGGGGATTCATTGACCGGCCGATTTAGGGAATTAACGGCGTCGACGTCGCCGTTAATCGCGATCTAGGTTATTTATCCGAACGACTGTTCGCGGATTTCTCAGTGGGCCCAACAAAAGCCCAACGGCTATCTTCGCTGACGTGGCGAGGATGTATCTGTCACAGTCAGCTTTTTGGCGGAAAATATTTAATGGGAAACCAACGTGGCCATACAACGGATTCACATACAACAGTACCAAGGGTAAATATGTTACAAATTCCAACGAGTTATTTTTCTCCACATTCAAATGAGTTCTGATAGTCTAATTTTCAAACCCATACACGCATGCGTATACTCTCTCTCTATACATATATAATAAAATATCAGCCACATATGTAAATGCTATCAGCTCTGTATAGATATTGATATATTAATTTGATTTTATTTGTTTGATATTCCTTTTATTTTGAAATACACGTATATAAAACAACGAACAATTGGTGTTTAACAGCAGAAATAAATTATACAACAATGAATACGACAACGTTTCGAGCGTCTTGATCACAGAGCGTTTTTTATTTTTATATTTCCGCTCGATGCCCTCAGATTTATTTTCGTGAAATGCCGCAGCCCCGTATTACTGGGGGAAGGACAAATCCGTAGATTCGGAAATAAAGGGGGGGTGTTTTGGAGAGTAACCCATATGAAATGGGGCGGCTACTCGGTTACCTGTTTCTTTTTCCCCGTTACATCTTTTTTTTTTTAGAAATTAAATTAAAGTTAAAATTCATTTATATATACGCCTCTGCTTTTTTTTTACCCCCAAAAGTCTAAAAAAAATAAATATTTTTTCACCCCCAATGATTCATCTTTTCTTAAAATGTACCCCATTTGTCTCTGATAGCAAATTCTAAGGTGTCAATTTGGGTATGAGGCCCGAAGTCCGACTCGATCCAATCCGAAAAATAGCGGACTTTGGGTCGAAGTTTTTTTATCCGAAAAAAATTGAGTTTTCGGATCGGGTTCAAATCGGGTTTCGGGCTCGAGTCGGATCGGTCCGAAAGTCCGAAAATTAAAAAAATAACATTTACATAGAGAGATCCGCGGGCTGGTCCGGTCCAGTCCGACCCGACCAGAGTCCAGAATGTATAGGACCGGACTTCGAGTTTAATTATATAGGTCCAAAAAATCGGACTGATCTAAATACAAACTCGAAACTTTCGGATCGAGTGCGAGTTCAGACCGACCCGATTGACATCCTGGCAAATTCTGGTCTACCGCTTTGTATATATTAAAATGAAACAAATGATATGCTTTGCTTTTCAACTACAATAGTTAGTTTATGCACTTTATCCCTCCTTAAAGGAAGGAAACCTCGGATTTTGGATTTGATCTAAGCTTGTTTGCATGAAAATTTTATACAATTAATAAGAAAACGGAATATTATTAATAGGTGAATAATTCGTTGGAACTTTGGTTATTCACTGTTTTTATATGTATGTTAGATTATATATACATTTATATATATATATATATATATTCAGTTGAAAAAAGATATCTATAAAATTTTCGTAAGAAACATATACTAACGAAATAGAAATTTTCCAACTACGATCTATCATTTTGCTATACCATATTTTTGAAATAATCGGAAAAAAAAAATCATGCGGATTAATGGGTTGCCGCTGTTATATAGATTTTTTGTCTAAAAAAGAATTAACATATCTCAAAGGATAAGATTAAATAGTAATATTCATAATGTCATAGAAATTATATTTCTCTCTCGCCCTTTTTTATATATTTTTCTCTTTTTTTTTCGTATTGTAGCGTTCGTCAAGCATAGCGACACGACACTCGTGACTATTCTTCGGGACACACGTGCAAGAAGCATTGAAGCAAAGCCCCTCATGCTTTTGTATTTTTTTTTTAAATTCCCTGCCATTTTTTGTTGCAATAAAAGCCTGTTATTATCTTCGTTTTGCCTATAAATTAAAAAAAAATTATAATATAAAAATTCACCAAATCTTATACCCAACTAAAATATCGGAAAGTAGATGTAAATATCTTTTCCTAAATAAATATTCGAATTTAGATTGTAAAAAAAGTAATACGTTGAACAATCCAAAATTGAATTATAAATTTAAAATTTACCATCCAAATAGTCGTTCTTACCCGTAAAACTAAAAGACTATAACCTCTAGGAAGTAAATAATGGCGCTTGATATGGCATAAAAATTATAATTTTATTTGTAATATAAATAACTATGGCACCCTGCATCTACACCCACCCATATACACATTGTAATGATAGCCATATAATCTTATGTACAATCGAATGCATTTATCTACACTAAGCTAAAACGGCTTAAATTTTCAAATTTCAATATTATTTTTCATGATCTATTTTTTTCTTCAATACATTCGTTAATTATGCGAAAAGGGTATTCTCAAATATACTAATTCTGTTCGCTTTATAATCTTTGGCATACATAATAGATATCCTTACATAATTATAAGCAAGATTACGGGAGTCTTGCACGCTAATAAGCATGTGCCAAGATTTTCGTGCATCATTTTGACACCGCGTAAAAAAGAAAGGCGTATGGAAATAAAACAATATCAAGATTCAAGATTGCCAAATTAAATAAAAAAAAAGAAGTAAATAATAAAACCGCCTTCTTCCAAGACCAGTCAGACGAAATCCTCATATTCTCTCTCTCCCCTCCATAGCCGTATTCTCTCTCTATCCTCTCTCGTCTTCATCAAGCTATACAATATAGAAGCATCCAAGACAGAGTATTGAGGAAAAAAAACTTTTTTTTTAAAAAAAAATGGGGTTTTCAAGTCTTGCGTTGGCTTTGACGGCTCTGTTCGCTGGTACCGTTTCTGGGTTTAATCTGGAAAAGCTCCCTGTTATGTCCTTCGACGAAGGTTACACGCATCTGTTCGGTGACCAGAACTTGGCTGTCCGAAAAGACGGGAAATCTGTCCGTCTATCTCTCGATGAGAGGACCGGTCTGTTCCTGTCTTGCCACCTTTTCTTTAGATGTCTGTTCGTGTTCTTTTTTGGTGGATAGAAGGTTTAGGTTTTTGATGTTTTGCCTGAAAGCTTATTTGCAGGGTCTGGGTTTGTTTCAAACGATCTGTACTTGCACGGTTTCTTCAGTGCAAAAATCAAGCTTCCTGCGGATTACACCGCTGGTGTCGTTGTTGCTTTCTATGTAAGTGATAACAGTGATAATCTTTCTCTGATTTTGGATTAAATTAATTCTTCCTGTTATGTTTTTCCTTTTTTATTATTTCTTTGGATTCGAAGAGTTTCCTCGACCATACTCTGCTTAATCCTTTACTTCTTGGGCTCTCGGATTCATAAATTTTTTTTTTCGGATTCATAATTTTTGTTCAGATTGTCGCGTGATTTTAAGCTTCTGGGTCCACCCAGGATCGATAGATTTAAGTGTATTTCGTAATGAAAATGATGAGTTTCAGAATTATTAACAAAGTTCTGAAAAGGTCGTGGATTAACGCGTTTCAGATGTCGAATGGAGACATGTACGAGAAGAACCACGACGAGATAGATTTCGAGTTCTTGGGAAACATTAGAGGCAAAGAGTGGAGGATTCAGACAAACGTTTACGGCAATGGAAGCACCCACATGGGCAGAGAAGAGAGATACCACCTCTGGTTCGATCCATCCGAAGATTTCCACCAATACAGCATCCTCTGGTCCGATTCTCACATCATGTAAGAAACCCTTTTCTTAAACCCACCTTCTTAATCATGTATCAATATCAGCATCGCCTTAATCCCATGAATTCAAGATGATGAGATCAAAATTAACCAACTTGCTCTGTTCAGAGACCAGGATGATGGGTGGCATATCTTTTGTATGTAGTCATATGATTCAACAATGTCTCCGTTAAAGGAAAACCAGTGGGGTCCTGTGGGATCGTTTGGTTTCATTAAAATCCTTTTGATGCGAGGTTTCAGTGTTCTTCTTGGTTTATATGTTTGGTTTATTAATTTCTTCTTCTGGGAAGCTCTTCTGGCGTTTCGGACAGCATCTGTTTTGGACGTTTTCCAATTTTCTGGTTCCTCCTGTTTTTTCTTTTCTTCACAAAACCGCTTTGTCTTCCTTTTGTCACTAACGAACAGAGTTATTCGGTGGCAGAAAATGTCAAATATTTTTAGTGAAAGAATCTAATCCCATCTTCAAAAGCTTGGATTTTTACTCAAAATGTTTCCTTTTTAAGCCGATTATCTTTGTTTCAGCTGTAATAATTCCGGGCACCGATCAAGATCGAAACTTTTTTTTAGACTGTTTCGCTTATTTTTTTTTTTGCAGATTTTACGTGGACGACGTTTCGATCAGAGAGGTGAAGCGGACGGCGTCAATGGGCGGTGACTTCCCGTCAAAGCCGATGTCTCTCTACGCCACTGTATGGGACGGCTCCAAATGGGCGACTAACGGCGGTAAGTACGGTGTAAATTACAAATATGCCCCTTACGTTGCCCAGTTCTCCGATTTCGTCCTCCACGGCTGCGCCGTCGACCCCATCGAGCAGTTCCCTAAATGCGACGACGCTTCGGCCGGAGATCTCCGACAGGCGGCGGCTGAGATGACGTCATCTCGGAGGAGCAAAATGGAGAATTTCCGTGGGAAACACATGACGTATTCTTATTGCTATGACCAGACAAGGTACAAGGTTGCTCCGCCGGAGTGCGTGGTCAATCCTGCGGAGGCTAAGCGGCTTAGGGTTTACGATCCGGTCACTTTTGGCGGGATCCCAGGCCGTGGACACCGCCGCCACGGCAAGAACCGCCACCGGATCCGGGCGGTTTCCCGGTCGGAGGCGATGTAATACGGTGGTGAACGAGAGGAGGGGGGGTCACCGTAATAAGTTCTTGATATGCAGCTAGAGGGGTATTTTTGTCATTTTATATTGTATAGGAAACTTTAAAAAAAATGAAAAAAAAAGATTATTTCATGAAGACAATTGGTGTTTTTTTTATAATTATTATAATCGGTGTTATGGTTCACGAGATGAGTGGGTGGGTGTGTTTTTCCATTAATAACTCTTTTTTTTTTTTATCATTTTCTATCTTGTTTTGTAAAAGATTCTTGCATTTTCTATGGTCGTTTTCTTGGTGTTTTATGGGATTTTCAACTCAATGTGAATTCCTGTCTCTCCTTGTACTTTATTTTTTTTTAATAAGATACTCTAATATTTATTCATTCATGGGTCCAATAAAACATCCACGGCTCGCTTGTCTATTTTTGTGTGACCATGTTCATGCACATTAAGTTACAAACCATATAAAGTCCCTATACATTGGGAAATTAAGTGACAGAATCGATGCAGTGAAACGGTTTTAGAGATAAATTAAAAATAAAAAATAAAATTGGAATGATGTGGGCATAAATCTTTATTTGTTATGAACAATATCTCTATGTTTCATTTAAAAAAAATTTATGGTTCTACCCTTTTTTTCTGAAGAAAATGAAAATATACCAAACCCAGAGATTTTGACGTAGCATCTGAATTCGATTAATGTTACTTTGAATAACCAGAGCATTGCGCATTAAAAAGAGCATTGAAATTATAGACGGTAGGGTCCACTTGGGAATTGGGATATCTGTCGTGATCGCATGGCCTTATTTGTCAAATGTATCAGCGTTAGATTGGAATTCTAAAATTTTGACCCTTGACAAGTGGTGTTTCCATATGGCAGCTTCTTCGTGAAGATTACCAGTATTTTTCAAATTATGCATAATAATACTATATCTTATTCACAAATAATATGATCCTCTGAAAAATATAGTTTGGCTAAAGATCCGGTTAACTTCCGTATTTTATTTGGGTCTTGCTTTTGGCTAAATTAATTATCATCAATAAGGTCTGGACACGTGTTATTATCATGACTGCATAATTGAATTGGATATTTGATGATGACGTTGATTAATTTGAATAATGAATAAACGATAACGGATTAGTCAAAAAGATGACGATGACAATCATATATATCAAGTGATAAACCCAAGTTAACGATGGGAAGTTAGTTAAACACGTCATTTGATTTGATTTTTAATGCAAATAATTATGTTTCATAAATGGGTTTGATTATATAGATAACTCTAATATATAAAAATCGCTATATGAGTTATAACATAATATAAGTTTTTTTTGGTAATGAACATAATATAAGTTGTCTAAATACAGATTACAATGAACATTTGCATATTTAGATGCATGCATGCATATAATTACACATACGTGTGAACTGCGTATTTATACACTCGCAGATACCTCCACGTCCTCTATTTTCGCAATTGATTTTTCTCTCTCGCGTTTTTTTTAATCCCTTTTTCGATTTTTTGGAGACTGATAAATCGAGAAATGAAAAATGGAAAGGTTTATGGACCGCCACGCAACTTGTCAATAAATATTGCTGTCCATTACATTATATGCTTAATAACACATTTTGCATGTCTAGGAAATATCATAATTGTACGGTTAACTACGTTTTTTTTTGTAATTAATGAAATTTGATACCCTAACCGATTGATGCTAGTTACTATAAGTGGCTAGATGTTACAATTAATCAATAATTTCTCATTAAAAAAACTCTATAAAGGGGAGAAATTTAAAAGCACAAGTCTGAAAGTGGATTTCTCTTGGTATAATAAAAAAAAATGAAGTGTGCGCTCGAACAAAAATCTTTTTTATTCTATTTTTTTAATAATTATGCCCCACACGTTTTGCAAAATTAGGCCCACGTGAATTACGTGTTATTAGGCCCATAAACTCAGAATGGGCTTTATGAAATGTCCTTTTTGTGTTGCCAACAATGTACCTACATAATAATAATAATAAAAATTATTATTATTATTTTAAGATTAACTATTAATCAATAAATGGTGCCAGGAAAAAGGAATGTATTTAAAACAAATCCAACAATCAAGAGGAAGCCTTTGTGGGTAGATAAAGTTGTATGTATATGGGGAGATTACTCGCTGACTATATATGTATATAGATACACACATATGCAGTATTTGTATATGGGGAGATTTTTTTTTTCAAATTTTATTGGGGTTGCTCATTTTGTTTGTTGAGAAACTATTATTATTTCATTTTATTGGACCGTCCAGAATTGCGGAATTGTAAATACCGGAACTACAGAAGGGTTCCAATGGAGTATGATTTGACAGCGATCTTGTGGGCCCATCGGTGGTGTATACAGTCTGACGTGGCATCACCAAGTACAACGGGATGGAAAGCCCATGGGCCCAGAATTGTGGGCCAACGGCAATCATGTCCATTTTCCTTTTAGTGTGTTTTTTAATAAACAACTCCAGAATAAACTCCAACATTTTCAGGTGATTTATCAACGAATTGGTTAAACTTTTTCACGAAACATGGAATAGTTCCGATTTGGGGAAGAAAAATGTGGGAACTTGGAAAGTAAGATGGAGAGAAATTGAGATCTCTCTTGTGACATATAATCCACCATTTTAGACTCTTGAACGCATGCGTCCTCACTAAGCCAAATCTCTCTTCCTCTTCACACCTCTCTCTCTCTCTCTCTCTCTCCCAAAACCCTAGATCTCTCTCTCTCTCCCTTTTCTGAAGCTTCCCTTAGTTTGCGCATCACTCGAACCGGATTAATTCGGTCCGGGAGATACGCATTTGCCAGATCCGTAGTGCAACTTTCTCACTTGCCACAAATACCCTAAGCATTTCTGGGGATCGTTGTTTCTCTCGTACTTGGTTAGTTCCTGATTCCGAAATTCACCTATTCCCTTTTGGGTTCTGTCTGAATTGTGTAGAATTTTCAGCTAAATTTGAGGGTTTTAAGTATTTGGTGAAGGATGTTTAGCGATCTCTTTGAATTCTAGCTGATACATTGTGAAATTTAGTTTTGGCTTCTGTGTTAGAGCTTCCTCAGTAGGTGAAACTGTCATTAATGCAGGTTGTTGTTCTATTTATTATCAGTAAGTTCGTTCACTTGAGCATTGCAATGAAAAACAGAAAACACTCTCTTGCTCTGATTCTTCCTCTTTTTTTCATCACCTTTTCTCTCATTTTCTCGGTTGCCAAACATCTTTTGGCCGCAGATCTGCTTGACGTTGATCGTCGGAAGCTATGAATTGTGTTTGGCAGTGAAAAAAAAGGCTTTGGCTTAGCGTGATACCCACGTTTTCACGGATGGCAATGCCGCCGGGAAGTGTGATTCAATCTGAGAAAACACAATTTCGAAGGAACCCCAGTCACACCAGAGATCCAAATACATACTCAGGCGATTTCACTTGATTAGGGAAATCATCGACAGAGGAGACGTGAAAATAAGCAGAGTGTCGACAGATGATAATA